TGTGTATGGCAGGCGTCTGTGGAAGCATGGATGTGCCGAGCTGACCTGGAGGGCTTGCGTCCTGGCAGTTACACGTCTCAGGCTCAAGAGGTAGGGGTACCAGTAACACAGAGTTGAGCTCTCTTATTTTTTACAGATTCTCTTCTGTTTGATGGTCCTTTCTCTGTATTTTCTATTAATTTTGAAGCAGTTCTTGCTACTGGACCATATGCAGTTTGGGCTTACCTTTTGTTGTTGTTAAATTTGGATGCCAGGGATTAAACTCCGGGTCTCCTTAATGCTAAGCACTTGCTACCTCTAAGCAACACCCCCAGCCCTGTTCCAGCTAATTTACTGCCAGCATAGACTTCTGAAGGAAATAAAACTGCTTGATTCTGCACCATTTCAGCCCTTTTGGTTCCAAGTAACAGTTTTCTCAGAGGGTAAAAAACAGGGAGGGAAATAAGTTGTGAGGCATGGAGGACTGGAACTCTTCACATCGTTGCTGTGAATGGATGGTATTAGGATGCTAAGCACAGGGGATCTTTAGCTTATTAGCAGGAAGACACAGTCATTTGGGCTTCTATTCATTTACAGCTTGTCAGAGAAAACAGCAAACAAGACGATAACAGGAACTTTAATCCACAATAATATGAAGCACTGCAATTGTGTCCTTGGCACCCTGGCTAAAATTTTGGTGGAGAAATTTGGGTTAGGATGACTCCCCTCCCCAAGGTCTTCAGTGCCTAACACAATCACAGTATTTGAAAAACTTAATAATTATAATTAAAAGTGAAGTTGAGCTCCAAAGGCTGTGATCTTTTCAAGGGATGGTAATTTTTTTTTTTAATGCTTGTTTTGAAAACTGAAGTTTATTCCAACATAGAGGAAGTTTGTGCATGACCAGAATCCTATATTCGTGTACGTGCAATTCCTTTGGAGAGAAATGCTAAATGGGCACAGGAAGCTTGAGCGGAGGGGTGTGCATGCCAAGCACACACATGCACACGACGCACACCCATGTGCCAGGTGTTGTGCTGGTCCCAGCTGCTGCCTCCGTGCTCCGTGCAATGTCACTGTCCCACCGTCGTCTGAGAGTAACTCACAAGCCACTCTGCTCACACTCACTTCACCCAGAGAGCTGCTGGTCTTTGCCAAGATAAACGGCCATGTTTATTGGACTGTTTATGCCTGTCCCAGCCATCTATAATGTGTAAGGCGGTGTCGCCATTTTTACTGCGTTTCCTTTTGCGTGTTTTTAATGCGTTACTGATTTTTTTTTTTTTTTTGAGACAGGGTGTCACTATGCAGTTCAGGCTGGCCTTGAACTCGCTTTGTAGCCCAGGCTGACCTCGAACTCACATCAATCCTCCTGCTTCAGCCTCCCGAGTACTGAGATCACAGGTATGTGCAACCACACCTGGCTCTGATGATGTTTTTGGGTGTTTTTCCCGACTTCAGTTTTCCAGTAAGCCCTGGGCTTTTCTGTCTGAAGTGTGCAGTGTGATTTTTAGAAACACGTCACTTGATACTAAAATTGCCTCTCTGGAGTATGAGTAGGAAAGTTTCAAATGTTGAGTGATTATAAAAACTAAAGCTCATCGGATGGGCACTGTGTCTGTATACATTAGCTACCTGAGTTAACTTAATCCTAAAGTGACCCCATTTTAGAGGAGGCTACTGGACTTGTAAGGGTTAAATCATTCATCTTCAACCACAAACGTAGGAAAGAGTTGGAGTTAGAGCACTTACCCCACGTCTAACAACGTGGGTCACAGTGTGAGACCCTGCTGAGTGTACCGTGTCCAGCGAGGCCAGCACCGGGGGCTCACCTGCTTAGGGAAGCCCACAGGGCCTGGAACAGGACAGCCCTGGGGTCCAACCTAAGCTCTGCCATGTGCCAGAGGGGTGTCTTGAACAAGTTACTTGGACTTTCTACATTCTGGTTTCCTAATCTGCAAGAATAAGCAACAATCACAATAAACAAGCACTTATTACCCCCAGACATTCTATGAGACACATACGTCCTCTTTCTACAAATGGCAAATCCGGACCTTAGAAAATAAAGGAACTTGACTGGGGAAGGACAGCCAGGAAGGGACGCAGCTGGAGCTAAGCCTCAGAGGGTGAAATCCCAGGCACTCTTGTTAACCATGCTTTGCCATAGCTCCCAATAAAGCCTTTCCCTGGCTCTTGCGCTCAGTCTGTGCCATGAACTTAAGGAATGAAGCGCGTTATTGTTACCGGTGGAACTTCGCCAAGAACATAAATTGCCATAACACGCAGAGGAACGAATATACCTCTGGAGAAGTTAAAAGGATGCTAAGGGTGTTCAAAGCAGGAAGCCATGACATCCATAAGTAACACATTCTTGAAGGAGGAGACAGCCCTTGAAAAGCATCTGTGGGACCTTGGCGGACAGGGAGTGACACACCGACAGGCACCATGGAGTCCCCCAGGGAGCGGAGCACTGTCCTCGGTGTGGGGTGATGGCATGGGGATGTGGGAAGGCAACCGCACAGCCTAGGAGAGCCTCTGGGCGTCCTTCCTGAAGGGGTTACTATATAGTCTGGGGCATGGCCTGCCAGGGTGGCGTGCTGAGAAGGCAACACTGGCCAGAGCTGGGGCAGAGAGCGGCTGGGGGCGTGGGCAGGGCACAGTCTGAGTCACCCGGTGCCACCCTGCCAGCTTCCAGGTGAGTGTGGGTTCCCCAGCGAGCGCATTCCTGGACTACTCTTTGATCTGAGTCTTCTATGGCAGAAGGGGTTTGCAGTACAACAGAGCCCCCTGTGGGCACCTTGGGGATTAGCTCCAGAAGAATTTAGAGGAGCAAAAATCTCCAAATTACCCAAGAACCAAATCTGCCAGCTTAGAGGCGCAGGGGAACCGAGAATTGGTGGTCTAAGCAGCAGAAGATGGCTGGGTGTTGAGGACACAGTCCTAGATGTGTGAGCAAATAAGGGCAGTGCTTTATGTCCTTTGCTTTTCAAAAGCAGCTAGATATTGACAGTAAGACATCTTGGCTTCTAAATGTGGGCTCGATTTAACTCGCATATCAGAGCCGAGAAGTATATATCTGTACTCTGGATCTGCTTACAAGCTCCACGCTTCCAACGCACATTCTCCCACCAGCGGAGAACGTGGAGTCACCTTCAGATTCGAATTTCTCCACCCACCAGACTGTGAGATCCAAAGATCCGGGTAAGCAGACAGCTGTATTACAGCTGTCTTATAGCACAGGTCATCTGACTGCCGATCTATTGCATAGACTCGGAATGTTGTCTGCAATTTTTACCTTAACCTCAACCGCCACTTACTGTTTCTTTCCAGAGCCCTCTGAGGGCCAGGGTGTAACAGAAGAGAGGAGGGGTCCACTGAGGCCTGACTGCAGGTGGGAGAGTCACCTGTGTGCTTCACTCCTCCGTCACCACCCTGGCCAGGTGTGTCCCGGGGAGGTCACACAGGGCCAGAGAGCCCTGTCCACCCTAGCTGTGGTATTCTGGTATTCTTGAGTGGCCCCCTCATGCCTGAGTCCCGAGGACACAGGTCAGGGTTTACTGACAGTCCAAGGTCTCTGCATCTGCACGCAGCCATGCGGGCTCCGCCCCAGAGATGAAATGCATATCTTAATCTCCAGATGACAGTGGGGAATACCTGTGCTTGATCCATGACAAAGGTTATTTTATATATTGCTCAGGAAAGAATTTCCCATTTGTGTACAGGTCAGTTGGGTATTTTGCTAAGTTCACCAAGAAATGAACTCACATCATAAATATTTTCCCTTAAAATATTGGGAGGCATTTTGGTCTCCTCTAGGGCCCAGAGGAGGGGCTTTGGAATTGGATCTACCCGGTGCTGGTTCTGGCTTCACCACTTAAAAGCTATGGGATGCTGAGCAAGGGAATTGACATCTCTGCGCTTCAATTACGCACAGGGGAGGGATTCATTAGAACAGTGCAAACAGGACTTTCAAATAGTGTAAGTGCTCATACATGTAACAGCTGTTTCACTGTTGCTTTAAATGGACTTTTTAAGGAATATTAAATCAATATTTCTGTGTCACTTTAAATATCTAGAGATGCCATTCTTTCCAGGAAGAGATGAAGCCTAATTCTGGCACCTTCTTAGAAGCTGAAAGCACTATTAGTTTGGTAGTTGCTTGCTCTTTGTCTTAGCCAAATTTCAATCTAGATGACTTATGCGCCAATATGTGAGACATACAGATGACCAATAAAGGCCATGCGGTGCTTGGATAAGACCTGACTAAACAGCCCAGTTCTCCTCGCTATCATACAGTCAGTCACATTCCATTGCTGTGGAGTGTTTCCTCATAGACTGCAGGTGCTGCCCACAGTTTAGAACCCACATCACGCTAGTTTGGGAAGAGGAGTCAAATATCATGATGATACAGTTCATTTTCTTAACATGGACACTGCAGGTATCCTTAGGAAATCGGTTGCTCAGGCTCTTGTCACTCTGGAGTGGGCATAGACTGATTGAGTAATTAGAAGCTTTGTACCAGGTGTGAAGGATACATTTCTGAATGTCCTACTGAGTAGACCTGCACCAGAGGCTGGGACAGAGATGTGGACTTATCCCGATTAGCAGTGCCACATTCTGACAAATTAAATTTCAACACTTCCAGTTCATCCTGGCAGGTGTTCAGACCTAACGTCATGCAGCCGTGATGTAAGCTACAAAGAGTGGTATTTTGCAATAGAGTCTGGTAGCCCTTCCCAGGAGTGTGGGTTGCAGAATATCAATATTATCGCACTCAAAAAACATGATATGTTTTGTAAGGCAGAGAGGTTAGATGGCTTCCTCAGAATCTTCTGCCTGTGTCAGTTCTTCTTGTGTTGAATGGCAAAAGCTTGCACTTTTGTTGTTTGTCTCGTAATCCTTCAGGCATTCTTTTTCAATTAAATATAATGAATGGAAATCTTATTGATGTTACCAAAACAGACACGTCAAAATCAAAGGGTTAGACCTGCACGGTATCAGGAAACACCAAAAACGGACTATGTAACAATTTCATCTTCTGCAAACTTTATGAAAACATGGCCCTACCAAAAGGTAATCTGGGGGGAGAGAATACAACGATCAGCAGTTATAACTCCTGTCATGTACATTCATGGGCTCAGGTACAGCGGAGGCTACAGTATATGCCCTCACCCCGTCATACTCCGAGGTGCTTACGAGTGAGTCACCAGAAAATACTGACTGCAGAAGAATGTGCTCTCGGTAAGCTCAGGGATAGACACGGGGAGGAGACAGAAAGGGGAATGAAAGAAGGCGATGAATTCTTTGGCTAGTTTGATTTAGTCAAAGATGCCAGCAATATGTTGTCATTTCATTGTTAAATGATCCACTCAACTTAATCACCCTTGATTGAGAGCTGAAAGTGCAGTTCTGATGCAAGGACTAAACGAATTGGTTCTTTTCAGGGTCATGTTGCATATAGGAAAAAAAAAAATAGAAGAGGAAAGCTTGTGCAGATCATCTTGCATTGAAACTTTTTCCCATCTAGTCCTGCTTATCTACACAAGTACTGCCAGATACAGCCTGGCTCCCTGAGAACGCGCGAGATGCCCTCCTGCAACTTAAACCTGGGTGTGAAAGATTTTGACCCTGGGTCACAAGATGATCCTGTGACACACACACACAGCTGTATTTGGTTTCTGGAACAGTCTCCCTGGGTCAGTTTTATACTGTTAATGAATACTCTACTGGTTAAGAAACAATCTGAACATATTATTGTTTTGGTTAATATTTTGGTTTAGAAACCTGAGAGTTTTAACTCTTTGTGAAATGTTCTAATGTCAATGTGATTGTGTTTGAAATTGGCAAACGCAGTCACCAGGTCTTCAGGACTGTCTGCGGACTCCAGCATTAATTCCTCTTTCCCTCCAGAGGCCTTTATTGTTTCTCTCTGACTGTCCCCGGCTCTTATATCTTTTTGCAATGCCCAGGAAGTGCATAGCTTTCTAGGTGCGGCTACAGGAGTCACTGGAAGGAACGTTCCCTCCCCACCCACTTGACGTAACCTTCACACAAGGGGAGGGCGGCACGAAGTGCTGACAAACCACTCACCCGCGTTCAGTTCCTTCTCAGGGAGAAACAAGGAAAGCAGAACGGCAACCTTCACAGGGGCTGAGGAAAACCTGAGGTTCATGGGAACGAAAGGCTTGCTACCAGACTGCCAATATAAGGACATTCAAGTCTGGCCCTCCAGTAATCAATGCCATCATCAAAATTGCTTGGGTTATTTACGTCCCACTGAGAGAAAAACAAAAGTCTGTAGTTTTAGTTTGAATCAAAAAAAAAAATGGTAGCTGTTAAATTTCTTTAATTTCATTTAAAAATAAATTACTATTTCACAAAGGGAACACTAAAGTCTACACCTAGGATGATACTCAGTGCGTGCTTTTTGGCTAGAGGGGAGGCTGGACGTGGGTGTACAAGGAATAATCTCACCTGTGGCACACACATGCCATGGTTTGCTGCTCCCCTTATACAAGGGCCTTGTGGAAAATAAATCCAAAGCCCAAAGAAACTAAGCAACCTGCATGGACTCTGTGGAATTATGTGGCAGAACTAGAATTGAAAAGGAACGAACTTGATTCCCCATAGGTTTTCCTACCATTGCTTCATTTTTTCTCTGTCCAAATCTGTTACAAGGGATCAGAAATGCAGATGCTTGCCCATGCTGTTCGCTGATGAAATAAATTCCTTTATCAAGTCCTTCAGGTTTGGTTTTGGGACCAATTGTAGACCTTTGGTCATGAGGGAGTTTAGTCCAAATGGATGGTTACCTGGTAATTCCACTGTCGCCATGAAGGGAACTGTGCAGGAGAAGTGACAAACAAAAGCATGACAGGACAAAAATTGCATAATCCATACAGGATCAGAAGTGCTCTGCCTGCTGTGGACTTGATATCTGGGTAGCTTGCAGTCCTCAGAAACTCTTTAGCTTATTCCATGTTTCACAGATAAAGGCTGCACGGTGTGGTCACAGGCTGTGTTTCCCTTGGCCGCTCCAGTTTCTTTTCCATGGATTTGCCATGAGACACATACACAGTTTGCCCCAGGAACGATAATATTGATCTCATCCTACAAGTTGCCATCAAATCATTTAGATACCATGAAAGCAGAAGGCTTGGGATTAGGTCCTGGAGTGCAAACAGAGAGCCCGTGTGGATGGTCACAATGGTGGGTAGCAAGCACACGGAGGGCCCATACTTGGCATTGCTTTGGCCTGCTGCAAGGCTGAAAGTTATTCCCAGGCAGGCCCACCTCTGATACGGTCAGAAGCGTGAGACCGTTTTTCTGCAGTGAGAGCAGCCGCACCACATACCAGCAGGGGGAGCAGGCACTTGACCTCAGCCCTTGCAGTTTTTACAGCTGGCTCTATGGGACCTAAGGGTGGCAAAGTCCAGAGATCAGTGCTGAATTTTATCCTCTCACGTCACTGTGATCCTAGCTTCTGTCATTTTCAAGTCTGGTCAGCTTGGCACTTTTCCTTGTTCATCTGAAGATTTCCATTGGAGGCCCACTGGTTGTCCCAAAACTCGCAATGATGGTGCCTTCCAGAGGCCTCACAGTGGCTGCTTTCCTCCAGAGCACATGTTGTAGGGCGATTTCAGGTGCAGACACCTAAAGCAGAACAGCAATTTCACATTGATCACTGTGGATTCACCCACACAGTGCTGCACTAGGCAACCTACAGAGTTTCCCTGGCCACTGGTGGACCCAGCCCTCATGACTGTGACAACCACAGGCCCTGAGGATTAACCCTGAGGATTATCCCTAACCGCAGCACATCCCGCCAGGACAGTCCTAGGAGCTCACCGCCACCCATGGGCTCTTGTAGCCCATGACTAAATCCAAGACTACTGTCCTAGTGGGCTGGGACAGTGATGCCACTGATATTCTAGATCTTACGTGGAATCAGACAGAGAGTCAGTCTCAGCTCCAGCTGCACTGCCCCCTACCTGCTTTTGTTCTGCTATTACACGTCTGAATTATTTGGCAGAAATGTAACTGCAAAGGAAGGAACTCGATCCCCTGATACTCATTTCTGTCGCTGCCCCCACACCCTACCCCAGGCTCTGCTGTCTGCTGGGGAGCTGCCCTGAGGCACAGTGTGCACCTCCGGTGGTCTCTCCTGTGCTTCCTTCCTCTTTCTTCCTTTCATTATTCCTGTCTTTTTGATAAATGTGCAACTGACATAACACTGTATAGATTTGACTTCCTCTAAGATTAGTCATTAAGCAAAACGAACTTTTCTAGTTTGGGGCATGCAATTTGAGTCATTCGAAAAGTGACAGCTTAGTAAAGTACAGCAAGGGGAAGATATTTGTATTTTTAAAACATTAATGTTTCTCACATTATTTCTTGGCTTTTTCCTACTTACATGTACTTAAAGAACAATCATGAATGTGGAGAAACTAGAACTAAGTAGTTTATATTTATTTGTAGGTCAAGTTTATCATCTTGGGAGTGCGCTGGCGATAGTATCTTCCAAAGATTCCCCCGATTGAAGTTTGGGGAGAAAGTGGTCTGTGTTTGCCACGTATTTTCATTCAGTACTCATTTTTTGTTCTTGTAGTTATTTATTTATTTATTTTGGTACCAGGAATTGAACTCAGCACTCTGCGCTTGCCAGGAAGGTGCTTATGCCGCTGAGCTATATCCCCGGCCCTCAATACTCATTTTTTGATTTCTGCTTTTGCTCTAATGTTTACTCTGTGCCTGCTGTGTGTGAGGCACAGAACTAGACCCAAGAGGTATCATCACAGCGAGACAAGCTTGGTTCTGACCCTCCTGGGGCCTGCTGGCCTCCTTTGTTTTATAATTTTGACTTAGGCAGACAAAAATAAGAGAGAAATTGTGAATTTGGACTGTCCTATTGCAGTCGAAGTCACCTTTTACCATTTTTCTGGGTTTATGAGAGGAGGAATTAAAAATATGATGTAGGACCCTCTCATATTTACACTCCTTTTTTCATAAAAAAAAAAAAAACTATGATAACCAGGCCTGGTATGGGCTCGGTAAGTATGAACACACGCAGGCTGACTTCATAATTTGTTTCTTTCATACCTCTTTCTTATGTAGCAGTAAAAAATAGCAAGAAAACCACTTAATAGTAATCCAACGCCAATGCCAACTGCAATGTATTTTTCATAAGAATCCACAGCGTATGAAGTTAAGGTCAGGTGCTCACACCTTTCCCCAGTATAGCCAGTGTAGCACCTTTAAAGAGAGAAGAGGATACATCATTGTAAAACCTGTGATGACAGAAGTGCAGAAATGAAATAATTTCAAAGAATGAAGAAAAGATAAAACAGGCATAGAGGTGCACCTGAAATCCTAGCTCTGGGAGGCTGAGGTAGGAGGGTCACAAGTTCAACCCCAGCCTGGGCAACTCAGCAATTTAGTGAGACCCTGTCTCAAAGACAAAAGTAGAAAGTGCTGGTAAGGCAACTCAGACAAAGGCCCAGTACTCCCTACCCCACCAAAGAAAGTAATTTAAACTACAGAGACAACAACCAAGTGAAAGCCAATATGTTAAAGGTAATTAATAGCCATTAATGTTATAATAATCCTTTCACTAAAGCCTTGTGTTGTCTCCTTTATGGCAGATGGGAAAGAGCATGTTTGTCAAGAAAACTGAGCGAATCAGTGATTCTTAAAACAATGGCTTAATTATTTTGGAACTTTAGATTCACCAAAAGCCTTTTGGCTTAGACTGTTAAATTTTATCCTAAACAATACTGTGAAAACTAAGAATCCCCTTTTCACATTGTTAAAAATGCAAATCCTCAGATGCTACCAACCTGGGAGTTGTACTTTTGAGTATTTGTCTTTTTTTTGGTACTGGGAATCGAACTCAGGACCTTGCGCTTGCCAGGAGGCGCTTGTGCCCCTGAGCTATATCCCCGGCCCTGTAGTTTTGAGTAATGGGAATTAAGTAGCTTAGGAAAAGACTCCTAAGATACTCAGGTACAAGGGGACTGGCTAGTCATGCTCAGATCAACCACTATTTCTACAGCACAGAGAGGAGCACGGAGACCGCCGTGTGAAGACACAGGCAGGAGCCCGCAGGGAGCTCTGTTACCTGCAGATGGCCTGGTCCAGCTCGCGGTGGAAGGCGCACAGGCCATTGATGCAGTAGCTGCTGTGCTCTTCCAGGCAGGGGTGTGAGAACTTCAGGGCTACGGGTCCTTCCACAGAGTCAGCTACAAAGAGGAGAAGCGCGTAAACAGAGGGAGTGTGTCCGGCTTTCATGATAAACTTTCAGTATTCATGTGAAGAGACCTTTAATTTGAGGGTCTGGGGGAGTGCGTGGTCCTTTGGACTGCGGACTCCATGGGCAGGCCTGGGTTGATGTCAGCTCAGCAGATCATTCGTTAATCAGAGCGTGGGGTGGGTGGGTGACCACACCATCCTTTCGAAGCCGCACTAAAAGGCAGGGAGACAGGTTTGCCGAAAGGTGGCAGCACTGGCTCTAGGCTCAGCAGGTGGTTTTGAGCAAGGCTCCCAGAGCGTGTGAATAAAGACAGCGGTTTTCTCACCGTCTCTGCATTTCCTTCCCTTACATGCTGCAAGCAGCACTTAGGAAGATCTGGATTTACACCAGTGGGACAGTAAACTTAGTTCGTTTCCCTCCCAAAGCAAACGTGTGAATTCCTCCCCCAGGGGCTGGTTGAAGGGGTTCAAGTTCCCTGATGAATTCAGAAGAGGCCTTGCTGTGTCCCATACAAGACACGGGACCTAGCTGAGGCCAATACCTTCCTTAGCAATTACAGTTCCTCTCAGGGAAGAGGCACTGTGAGGCAGTGTAGAAGCTACGGACTTGGGAGTTTTTATCTCTAGCTCTAACACTATGCAAGTATCATAGAGAAACCTAACTTTTTGGAGTCCAGAAACCTCCTATGGGAAACTCTTCAGCAAGGGGTGTTGGGGCAAATATAGAGGTTCAGAAGGCTGCTCTGTCTTTCTGGTGTGCTGGAGACATACCTGTCCTGTCTTTGGTGTTTATGCAGAGGAGAGGCTTTTGTGTAGAACTGATTCCTTTTGGGTATGCTTTAATATGAATCCTGAAATTTTTCTCAAGCAGAATTAATGGCATCTTATTTTGTCATTGCTATAGATAATCCTAGCTCATCATAGTTATTATGCTGTAACACTGTATTTGCCTTGCTAAAGAGATTAAGGTAATCCTACTTGTTTTTGTTTCTGTTTTTTTTTGGTACCTGGAATCAAACTCAGGATCTTGCGCTTGCCAGGCAGGCGCTTGTGCTGCTGAGCTAAAAAAACAAATCTAAAGGCATTATTTTTTATATTGAAAATATTGTTTTTAGGTACTCAAGTACCATCCAGAGACTATGTTGTAACCTCACTTTGAGAAGACACAATATTACCTTAAAATTCACGTTCATTTTGAACATGACATGGTAAGTTTATCATCTTAATAATTAATTCTGGGGCAGTGAGATTTTCCCACTATGAACTATGTTGAGTTCTTTGAATTCAAACTGAACAAGTAACCAAGCCTGAAACAAGACTTGCTAGAAAAAGTGAAGACCGAAAGACGCCGTGTCCCAGGAAAGCATACACAAAAGGGACTTCCTTACCCTTAGACGAACATTAGCTATGGCTTTATGAAAAATTCTCGGATGCTGGGTTCATATTTTTAAGTTGAGTAGAAACCAAAAGGAGAAGCTAAAGCTCTCTATCAAAAAAGCAAAGGAAAGAAAGGGCTGACACACTCAATTCTTTTTTCCCCACTCCTAGTATGTGCAGTTTGGAGGACTGTGTTTGCAGCAAGGAAAAAGCTAGCACTGAGAATAAACTCATGCTTTGTCACTGCGTGGAAATCATACCTCTCTCCTAGTTCTACAGTATAATTGATCATATTTTAATAAAAATGTTCCTTCTTCACTGAAAAACTCAGAAGACATGAAGAAGTTGTCTGAAATTTACTTTAAAGCTCACACCGATTTTGTTTTGCAAATTGACATTTTTTTTAAAAATCCAATGGGGGAAATATTTTAAGCTGTTTAAATTGTGTGATTTTTGGTGACGTGAACAGTTAAGTATCACTGCCTTTCCTATTTAGAAACAAAATATCTGACTTGATCTTTTGTTTGCCCAGCTCTGAGGACAAAGTCTGGCGTTTCCTCTGTCCCTGTGACACTCAGCTCAGCAAGGGCACTGGGAGACCCCGTGAGAATCAGCACGCGGGCACAAGTCTTAACAGGCAGCGAGTTTTCTTTCCCAAGGTCGCCCCAGTTCAAGCAGGATGGGAAGCAGTGCTGATGTTCGTAGCAGCTGGAAGCTACACTAATAGTAGTAATAATAAAATAGGAAAGACGGTATCCCATGACCATCAACACCCGAGATTGGGCGTGAGCGCTTAGGAAACTGAGCATCGGCTGGAACAACAAAAGCCCCCAAAACAAACAGGAAAAAGATCTTTTCAAAGCTTCACGGCATAGCCATAATTTGGCTGCTAAGTATGCATTCCCAAATCAATATCTATCTGTCACCAAGAACCCCACACAGGCCTGAGAGCCAGCACAGGACACACGCAGTTCCCGGCCCAGCAGAAAGCCAGCAGGGGGTGTAGCCGTCTCAGATTCGGGACAGCCGCTGGAGGCAGCTCTTCTCTCTGTTTCGCTTCCTCTTTTGCAAAAGGCATTTCTTGGCTACTACATCCACCTGTCACTTCGGCGTAACACCATCTCGCTAAGTAAAGCAGCTGTTCATCTAATAAAGTGTATACTAAGAAATGTCCAGTGCGGCTGCTTTCACAATCCAGATTTCTCATGAAGGTTTTAAGGAAGATACTCGGAATACCACGCTGGGCACACAGTACCTCGGGTCTCGTTAGCTGTCCTGTTGCTCTGGGGTGCTGAGCCTGGGGCCATCCCAATCCAGCCGGCCTCAGCAGTCAGGGCGGCGAGTGCTGTACGGAGGGGAGGGGGCAGCCGGAACAGGTGAGCCTTTCTCCAAGTAGCCACAGGGGACCCAGCTATTCTCATTCTGTTGGTTCCCATTCTCCATTCAGTTTTTAATTTATTTCATTTGAAATACAAAGCCTAACGAGGGCAGTTTTCTAGCTGTTTCTCGGGTCTTCCACTAACTACATTCTAATTATGAGAAATAGAAACAGTAGTTTTTCAAAGAAGGCAAATACATTTACATAGCAATTAAAGTACTTCTTCACTGTACTATAGTGGGTAAATGTTATCAACTATTCTTTGTATGAGGCAAACATTCTGGAATTCTTTAAAAAAAAAAAGAGGAATCAAAATATGTCAATAGAGGAACATAGTTTCCTAAAAAGCTTAAATTACTGCACAGATTCCTTGCTCTGACCTTTGTCATGAGCAACTGTTAAAGCTAACTTTTCTCCTAATTCAGAGAAAATAAATTCCATTTACAGTTTACACTGGCACAAAGCTAAGAAAACAAAAAGGGAGTTACCTACCGTTGAAGAAAAGATAGACTGACATCGGAACTCCCCCAGCCATATCAGGAGCCGCTTCACTTTCTTTCTCCAGCCCTCTTAGACTGGCAGGTGGCAGGTTTTATTGAGCTCCGCGTCTTTCTTGCATTTATATTTCGTGAAGCGTCATCTGCCAGTTCTTACCAATCAACAAAATATGCATTTCTGGCAGTGGCGTGAAGGCTCCAGGCGCTCCGCACTTGTTTAGGGTGTCTGTGTTATCTGGCAGCGTGATCAGGTTTCTTTTGAAACACAGGTTTCCTGTTACCTGTGGGCATGCTTGTGTCTGTGAAAGTTCTTAAAACAACTGAAAAGAAAGGGAATTTGGGAAAGGTCCCCTTGGCTCTGCTGACAGCTTCCAACAGAGACATTTGCAAACCAGGAAATGGTCAAAACCTGTGAATAAACCATCCCTAACTGCAGTCTGTTACACTTCCCTTCCTTACAGACTGAATTGCACTGCAAGACAAAATACTTGGTCAATGTAGTTGTAGAGGAGAAGTTAAATTTGTGTCAAACCAGATTTAATATTCCATTTGGGGTCTGAGGAAGTAGCTAGCAAGCGTGAGGACGCCCGGGGATCCAGCCTTGGGTCTGCTAAAAAAATTTTCTTTTAAGTTTTGTTACTTAGTTTCACTTTTGACAATTGCTGTAAATATAATTATTTTTAATATTATAACATATCTTTCTATCATTCTGCCATTTAATGTTTTTCTGAGTAAATAGAATGATGAGCTGCAGGGTCAATACCTAAATTCATGCCCCAGTGACCAGGCTGGAAAGAACCAATAAATATACGAAGAGCAGCAATAATAATAGAAGTTTTCTGTTGAAATAAAGATGACATTTAGTTTGGGCGCATCTCGTGAATAGAAAGTCTTGACACAGCATTTAGGGTTTTCTCAATATTAACATAATTATAATGAATCTTATCCTAAAGGGCAAGACATGTAATTATTGCCTTTACCTTTTCTGACTCTAAGGGCTTCCCATAAATTTGCGCTTTCCACAAACTATTAGAAATATAATCTGTGCATGTGTTGTGGGGGCCGTTTTACCTAGAACTTCAACTGCTGCTTTCCTGAGCCTCAGAAACCTGTTCCAGTCACAGTACGTTATCATTCACATCACGTCCACCCAGCAAGGAATTAGATTTATCAGAAAGGATCCTTTCTCTATTCAAATAGGAATTTGGCTTTGGAAATCACACAAGAATGAGCTTGCATTCATTATAGCTTGGGCAATCGCTTACCACAAGACTCGTCATTTTAAAGTTAAAAGATGTAGCGTTAGGCTCATTTCCAATGGGGTACTTTATATTTCTACTTTTGTTTTTTAGCTATTTAAGTTGATTTTCAAATGCTGAGTATCAAATCCAGGGCCTGCGCATGCTAAGCAAGATGTCTGCCACTGAACTACATCTCCATCCCAAATGCCTTTTTTATAAAAAATTTTTATGGATAAAAGGTAAAACAAAATTTCATAACAAAATAATAGGACAGTAACAATAGTTAATATATTACATGTTGTTATCGTTAAAGTAGTTGCTCAGGGTACAAGATATGGGGCATAAAAATTTCTCCAATCAATAGTAACAGAAACTTTCCTTTTAATGAGCTAGGAGACACTAGTAGTATAATTGACTTGCATTTTTTTTCATTTTCCCTTCCATCCTTCCCCCTTTTACTCACCCTAGTGCCTTTTTTCCTTTTAAACAATTTCTTCCCATTTCATAATATCTATTGTACATTTTAGACTTTATTTACTCTTTCAGTTTCTCACACCAGAGAGACAATATGATGTCTATTCATGTGAGTCTGATTTATTTCACTTACGAGTATGGTATATAGTTGCATCCACTTACTTATAAAAGTCTCCAGTTTATCCTTCTTTATGGATGAGTATTTCTCCATTTTATAAAAAAAAAACCCACATATTTTTTATCCATCCCTTGGTTGATAGGCATTTGGGTTGTTTCCAAGATTTAGCTATTACAGATTATGCTGCTATAAACATGGGTGCACATATATCGCTGTGGTACAACATTTTTAATTCTTCTAGGAGGATATCCAGAAGGGGAATAGCTGGGCCAAATGGGACCTCTAATCCTAGTTATTTGAGGAATCTCCACACTGATTTCCACAGTAGTTGTACCAGTCTATACTTCTACCAATAGTGCAAAAGGGCTCCTTTTTCCCCATAGCTTCACCATCATTTCTTTTTTTTTCTTTTTTTTGGGGGGGGGTTTCCGGTACCAGGAATCAAACTCACAATCTTGTGCTTGTCAGACAGGCACTATGCCACTGAGCTAAATCCCCAGCCCCTTTACCATCATTTCTTATTGGTTGATTTCTTGATGATAGCCATTCCTTCTGGGGTGAGATGGAATCTCAGTGTTGTTTTAACTTGCATCTCTCAAGTGACCAGTAATGTTGAACATTTTTTCATATATTTATTTGCCATTTGTATTTCTTCATCTGAGAAGTGTGTATTCACCTCAGATGCCCATATTTTGATTGGATTTTTGAATTGGGGGGGGCTGATTTTTTTTCAGTTCTTTATATGTTCTAGATAGAAGTCTTTTGTCTGAGGAACAATTGGCTAAAATGTTTTCCCGCTCTGCGGGTTGTCTTTTCATTCTCCTTGGTGATTTCTTTTGCTGTGCAAAAGTTTGTTAATAAGATGAGTTCCCAGTCGCTGATTCCTTGAAGCATTTCCTGTGCCCTCTGCAGCCCCAACGTCTTTATTTCTAAGGCTGGGAGATGGAAGTATAATGATCCCCTTTGTAATAACAATTAACTGCAGCTAACATAGCCCATTAGACTATAGATTTTTATTTACATCTCAATTCTTTCTTTAGTAATCCTGGCCCAAATAAATCCAGAGCCTGACATAGAGTAAGTAATGAATTTGTCTTGAATGAATAGATAAATAAATAATTGGCCTTATTTGTCTTTTTAGGTGACAAATTGAATATGAAAGCTCAACAGAGTAGAGTAGGGGCTGGCATGTAGCTTGGTGATAAAGCTCTTGCTTAGCATGTGTGAGACCCTGGGTTCAATCTCTAATACCACCAAAAAGAAAAAAAAGGGAAAGAGTTACATGATTTGCCAAATTGATTTAGGACCTCTAAATGATAGAAGGGAAATATTGTAACTCTAACATGTCTGATAGGTTGAGTTTGTGTTCTCTAAAATCAAAGAGTCAATTTTAAGAAACAACAGAGGTTAAGAGTAGGAAATTTTATTAAGGGAGAGACAGCTTCTGAGAGACAGGAGGAGACCTGAGTGGGCTGTCAGGGAGCCCACTGCTCAAAGGAAGTTTTATACAGCAAAATCATGAGGTAGGTACAACGTGGGACAAAAGTATACTCAGCCAATGAGATGATAAGTATAGCTGCTTAGGTAATGTTGACCCCGTGGGGAAGCAGATTGTGTGGCAAGTGTTCATGGGAAGAGCAAGGACCTTTTTTGGAAGAGATGAGTCAGGAGGTTCTGGTCACCCACTTGGGTGATGGATGTCTAGCTAGACTTTATTGGACTCAGGTGATACCAATTATAGTATATTGCTTATCCTCTGGGGAGGCATGCAGGCCTGATCATTTTGTCTTTATCTTGAGACCTGGCCTTTAATGGATGCACCTCCAGCCGCAGTTGTAATGCATTCTCATCCTCTGCACTGGCTCCCTGGAAGGCCTAATTGTCTGACTGCCTATACTATTTCTACCTAACTTAGCTGTCAATAAAAACATGACTCAGAGTCTGGACTTCAATGCCATCCTAGACTCCTACTCAGGTACACTTTCCTTTCCCCAGCTGTCTTTTGGTAAGAGTTGGGGTATGGGTTGAAGTCCCTTTCATTATCTCTAAAGTCAAGCAGTAAATAAATTTTATTACAAGAAACTGAAGAAGTAGATTGTGTTTGCTCTCACATCAGGGCTGAGCACGGAGAGCGACTGCCATTTGAGATGCTTCCCCACCGTGTCCACCTAGGCCACGACGTATGGAAACTCATCCACCACTTTGGCTTAAGGTTTAGGCCACATAACAGCTCCAAATCATTCCGCTGCTGCTCCCCCTGTGAGGCCTACACCAGAGGCCCACTCTGTCCTCTCTAGGATGGTGCCCGTCCTGTAGGATAAAGGACTTTAGGGGGACAGCTCATCAAAGGCAGTGGTGTGAGGTAGTGAGAACATGGGCCCCGACTCCAGTCACCTCCACAGATCTTACTGTAAATCTGACTCTAGCTTTACCATCCATCTGGCCTTGGCTGTGACTTTTTAATAACCCAGAGGGCCAGTTTCCTCACCTATCAGGCGGAGATCATTAATCAAGTAAAAGACCCTGCCTGCCAAAAAGAGGGAAAAGAAAGGGAAGCACTTAACCCACAAGAGGTGCTCCGGCCAGGCTAGAGGACGCTCCTTGGAGAGTGCAGACAGACATCATGTGTCAACGTGCGGTGCCCAGACAGGGCAGGGACTCAGTGGCTGACATGTGCTGATGAATCCCAGATTTTCACCACAGGCCATGAATGCCAATCCTTTTCCGGGACTGATATTACTTCTGATTTTATTTGCATATTTTGTCATCACCTCTAACTCAATTTGTCCGAACATCTCATCTCTTCTCCAAAGTCCACACCCACTTACAGCTCCTTACGTTCGTTAATCAGTGGCGGCCTGTCCCGGCCTCTCCCCGCAGTCCTCACCGTCACTAAGTATGATCTGCGTTCTGGTCTTCCTTGTTTTCCACAAATCTATTTTCATGTTAATCCAGCTGCATTTCCAGCACTTTGCCACTCACACCTTTTAGCTTTCTCTGAGCAGCAGTGACATCCGTTGCTTTCGTATTTCTCAGCTTACCATCCTCCTGTTATTGTTGGACTCCTGTTCTTTTTTGGGACCCTCTTCCTAGATTATTCCCAGACACAACACAGGACATACATGCCCAAGCTCCTCCACAAAGCCGTTGCTTGCAGTGTTTAATGGACTCCATATATAATCATGGTACCAAAGAAGTGACTTTGTCTCTTTTCTGTGCTGACAAAGACTTCTTTCTCCAAACTATAGTGGGGCACCTCAGGAGCGCCCTCTCAGTAGCCTTGACCTTATCCCACTGAGCTTGACTTTGGAAGACAGTCATCCTGCTAAAGCAATTGTTGGACCCCCACCCTGCCCGGCACCCTGGTATCTGATCAAATTCCTCATCCCGTTAATATCTTAGTCTGTAGCCCGTTATTATCAAAATACCAATGAGTCAGCTTAGTAAGAACTGCCCAACCCCTGGTATCCAACTGAGGTCCTCTAGTATTTTCCTGCTCACTGACCTTCCCATACCCCCCGTTCAGGGCTCAGAATCTCCAGCCGTCTTTGCCGTGTACAGAGTGAAGTGCATTTCTCCTCTCTGGTTCCCACTCCATTGCAATTGTCTTGAATAAAGTTTCCCTTATGGTTTGAAGCAGTTGTTAGAATTTTTCTTTTACAGTACTTACTTAGTCTCTGGAAAGGCTGAGTCCTAAATATTATTTCAGAATAATCCCTCTTGCACCATGGTGAGGGCTCAAAACTACAGTCTTCATATTTTTTCCTATGTATGTATTTTTGGTCACATTTCATGGGGGAGTTAAGGGCCCTTAAAACTTAAAGAGGCCCCTTCTGAAATATGTGCTTGTGAACTTTGGATTTAAATTTCTGACAGGATTACTGGACAAAGATTTGTCTGGACTGACTGTGGAATCTGTTATAGTATCCTTCCTTTCATGTTTGGGAAACTTCTTCCTTTTCTTATTTTAGCATGCAGGTCACAAATTATGAGCAACAACAACAAAAATTTACAGCTATCTTTAAAAAGAGAGACAACAGAGATCCTTTTTCAAATTGCTTTATTCTGTAGTTGAAATGTTAATTTTAAACGTCTAATCTATTTTCACAAAATGATCAAGAGTACACAGTGATACCAACACACATTAAGAATCATTATTAATTCATGAACATACTGGGGCTTGTGCATGAGAAATAAATACCAGTTATACCGTTCTAGTAGTCTCAAGGTAGCCTTCAAGTACTGTGCACATGTATTTCCTAATTTAAATTGTGCTAGGGGCTGGGGATTTAGCTCAGCGGCACAGCACCTGCCTGGCAAGTGCGAGGTCGTGAGTTCGATTCCCGGTACTGGAAAAAATAAATAAATAAATAAATAAATAAAATAAATTGTGCTAGACAGCCCATATTTCTTTTGAGAACCAGATGCCATAAGAGAACAGGAACGAACTGTGCACACACAGCTGCAGATTTTCAGCTGTGTCCTAAGATGTAGTTTCAGCACACTGAGAGTACTAGGCCTTCCTACTAGATTTCTGACTTTGGGAACAAACCTTTCAGTTGCCGTCCGTTAGGGGCACCCTCCCTCATGCTGTACCAAGTTTCTTGATGTTGGTGCGAAAACACAACGTTAGGTTTATTTTGTACGTGTTTTGGATTTTTCCATTATTCTTCAGTGAGGCTACTGCCCAAATACTTTCTTAGAACAAGAAAGAAATCTAAACCTGACACAGTCTTCACGTGTGTTACCATGGGAACGGTCCTTCAGGCTGTGACAGAATCCCTACTTTCCCGATGGCATTGGGTCTTTCACCTACCTTGGATATTTTTCTTTCCTTCAATAGAATATCACTTCTCATTAGGATGGCTGTCTTTGCCATGTACAGAGTGAAGTGCATTTGCATTCACTGTTGGTTGCATCTGTGAGTTATCTACGATCAAGACTTAGTTTACTATTCCATCTTTCCTTTAGCAAGTATCTGACATAAAACATGGACTCTATCAACCAAGCCCACTTAGGGTAAAACCTAAATTACATTTTACATGGTGCACATTTGGCTGATTCAACATTTGTTAAAACATAGTATGTGTGCTATCTCATTATATCAGAAATGTATTTACTATGAACCCATTGTTGTTTTAACATTATGAACAAACACCCATAAAACGATTAAAAAATTTTTCATTCAAATTGTTCTGGTTTTACGGAAAATTCCAAATCTGTTAACAGCAAATGCATAAAACTGTGCGAACCACCTCTTCCACGATGATTCCATTCATGAAGAAAATAAAGACAATATAGAAATAAATAGCTCTGTAGTGACATAGAAAGGTCTTTGCTGTTTGCCAGATCAGTGACCAGTCTGACCTCCCGAGCCACTTTATTCTTCCCTGTGCTCTAGTAAATGACTTTCTGAGCTGCCAGAAGGGTGTTCCTCAGAAGCATCGCCACCGTCACGGGGCCCACACCGCCCGGGACCGGAGTGATAAAGCTGGCTTTCTTCCTCACAGCTGAGAGAGGAAACAGAAAATAGTGCTTACTTCTGAGTGTGCATGACAATTTCATGTTTACACACGTTGCTGCCTCCTCACATGTGCTAGGCAAGTACTGCACCGCGGATCTACAATCCCTCGCTCCTTAAATTCTTGTTTTTATTTATTAGTTAACATTTTATAATACCACCTTAACTTAGGCTACTATGAAAAGATACAGGGCTGCTCAAAATTATGTTGTGATGGCTAACCATGTAGAGATGAGTGCTCAAACTGCAACCCCAAGCCCATATATTTATCGCAAAGTGCCAACACTGCAATTAAACCTGAATACTGGGGTTTTAGTTTAGAGAAAACAAGGCATATATTAATATCTGTTGTCTTAAAAGAAAAACATATGTTCGCCACTACTGCTATGGGCTGTTCTGCATTACACACACAATTCTAACAACTTTCAGTCATTTTCAGAATAAAGGGGGCTATAATAAACACACATGCTGGGCGTGGTGGCGCATGCGTAATTCCATCACTCGGGAGGCTGAGGCAGGAGGATTGTTGCAAGTTCGAGACCAGCCTGGGCTACAAAGTGAGCTCAAGGCCAGCCTGAACTGCATAGTGAGACCCTGTCTCAAAAAGAAAATAAATAAACACACACACACTCATGCATGCACGCACCCACTCAAACATGCCTGTGTCATGATATCTAAGGTACAGAAAGCACACAGTGAGACCAAGACTGTCAGTTCTATTTCTGCTCAGTTCAGTGACCCAGTTAGTTACCTGCCATTCCAGTCAGCCCCTTGTAAAAGGTATGATTTTGGTCACGAAGAGGAAGCAGGACATAAACTGTTGGGTACATGCTGTTCATTACATTGAATTATTCCTGTCAGAACAACATCTTCTTGTGTGTAGACAAATACATTCCAGTGGAAATCTAATAAAAACATCAGATATAGTTGCATTGCTGGGCATATACCCAGTCCTATTCAAAGGTACGAGGACTTTATCCAGTGAACAGCTTGTAAGGAAGTGGGAGATAACTTGGAGCCAGTTTGAAGAATGTTTTCACATCCACAGTACCAAAGGTGAAGGCTTTGTGCTTTCAGGAACTTGATGTTTCTGTGCTTCTTCTCATGAACCAGAGCACTGAAACCGTTCAGATAACTGCTCAGCACTTAACGCAGCATGGACAATACTTCTGAATGCGGCATCTGACATCATTTGCTGCATGCTACTTAGATGTATTCTCTTGGGCAAGTTTGCTCGTCCATGCTTCTACAGGAATCCATGCCCAGAGTGTTCTGGATCTTGTACTATTTTTGTATAATTTGTGTTGCCCTCTTGAAAGAAGGGTTGGAAAATGTAACTGATTTGAAGGGAATAGTGCATTAGGGTATTTTGTAAATCATAGGAAAGCAACGGAATAATATCATTTGACCTGAAGCGAAGTCCAAATAAACGTTGACTGTGTCATACACACAGCAACTGAGCTGGTGTGCTGTGCTCCCCTCAGTGGTATGTGCTCCAGTGAGGACACAGTGGGAGTGTGCACACAGGTTTCACGCGTGAGGCGTGTGGTCTCCAAGACGGCAGCACCAAGAGGTGGTGAAACCTTTAAGAGGTGAACCTTAGTGGGACATAATTGTATCACCGGGGAGATGAACCCAGACCTCGGAGGCCGGGGGTAGTTTCTGTGAACCTGTGTTGTCACAGAGCAGGGGGTTACCCCTCCCCACACTTGGCTTCCTGTCTTGCCCCGTGACCCTCTGCGGTGTATCCCACCATGGCCACAGTATCCACAAGGCCCTGCCTGGAGCCCAGCTCTCAGACCTCCAGGACTGTGAGCTAAATACCTCTTTTCTTAACAAATTACCCAGCCTCAGCTATTCTTTATAGCAACAGGAAACGCTAATGTAGCATGTACGAAGAATCAAGAATGCTGAGTTGGACGGTAATATTTCTGTTTCCCAGAAAGCCTCTCTCTACATCAGCAGATCCTTTCCTGGGCCCTCCTTCCATCCAGCACAATCTCCTCGGGAATATTCGATGATGAACAGCTATCCTACACATAGCTATAAATTTCACCGCTCGTTTCCTTTGCCTTAGCTCTTCTTTCTACCTGGAATATTCGTCCATCTTATTCAAAAAAGAAAAGCCTTAGTATTCTTTAAAATCCAACAGAATGCAAACTGTCTGTGGTTTTTCTCAAACACCCTTGCCTCCCATGTTGAATTCAGGCATCCACACCTGTGTCTCTGGTAATGCCGTCCTCCTCCACGACAGAAAGAAACCTGCTGCACTCCGCTTCCTCACCTGTCTGCAGCTGGAGTTCCAGTCTTCGTGCCTCTGCCCACCCACCTGAGGCACTCCAAAATGTAAATGAAACAGCCCTTACTTAGAATCTGGAACTAATTTGCAGAAATGTGCTCCTGACTTTGACTGGTAATAAACGATTCTGGTGTTTCCAAGCTAACTTACTGCATAACTGAAGCTCTTCGTTTTGCTTGTGGGGAGAAACAGTATTTTCCCCTTTGTAGTAAGCAGGCCCTGCAGCATGAGCAATACGTTGAGGACCTTTTCCTAAACACTGGAGACACCATGCCTTTAAAACGCACACAGGGGCTTTGAAGAAACATACCACTTCCGTTTACACTAATAGTATATAAAGTCATATATCTGTAAAGTAGTGACTTTGAAACATTATACATAAAAATAAAATACCACTCAATAATATGCTAAATTGGGAATCAAGCATAAAAACTTAATTTTCAATCAAAACCAAAATGTGTTATTTCTAAATCAAAGAGTAGAATAAAATTAGTTATACCAAGGGATCCATTGTGTGTATATAGATGTTGTTATATAGTTTTTCAACTTTGAAAGGTAAAGTGCCTGGGGTGTTATTTGTATATGCAAAAATAGCAAACAACCACACCCACTGCTAGTGGAATGACTATTAGTAGAGAAGAACTTTATATACATTATAACTTTTATTTGTTTTTCCCAGGCTGATCATGAACTTGTGGGCCCAAGTGATCCTCCTGCGCAGTCTCTGGAGTAGCTGGGAATACAGGTTTTGTTTTGTTTTTCATTTACTAAGCTGGGCTTTATCTACCTTATTTGAATAATTTAATTATTACTTATTTTAGTATGTGAGAAAAGTATGGCTTACTGATGCTATGTGACTTACTACTCTTCCACTGACAGAGGCATAGTTCACAGCCAGCTTTGAAAGATGCTAGGATTTTGTAATGTCACCCCATCTCTGTAAAGCTGGATGAGCATGACCTGAACAAGAAGACCCCCCAAAATAGCTCACATGCCAGAAATTAACTTAGTTTTTTCATAGGGTTAGGAGGAGCTTCTGAAAGAAGATCTGAGAGAGGCTGTTCTAATAAACCGCTTTCCCTACGTGTTCACGATGGTTGCTCACAGCTCAGCAGCTCTGAGTTGCTGCTGGCACTCCAGTTACACAGCGGGCTTAATGGCCTGTGTGGCTATACTCCTTATGGCTAAACTCCTTGGGTGTTAGCTCAGAAAAACCACTGGTTTGCAGAGAACATGACCCTGCTCTTCCATGTTATGTTTCTCTTACATGTTTACTATTGCATTCATGCTCAAAAGGCAAAGTTTGGTTGGAGGACAAGGGGATGGAAATGAGCCGTTGCACAAAGTAGCACTTGTCTAAAATCTTGAGCTCAGCATCTGTGTTTCTGTACACTGTCCTAGTGGAAACCAACACACACACCGCTGTTCTAGTGGAAACCAACGCACACACCGTCCTGCTCATCACTCTGCGCAGGATCAGACGGAGCTGGGACAGGGCTTTGGCTGGCTGGGGCTGGGGGTGCTCTGGCTCTGGTTCACAAGCGTCCAGGAGCAATGGCAGAGTCCTGAGCATCATTCAGCAGGCAGAAGACTATAGCATCCCTGCAAGCACAGCTGCTTCCCCAAGTCATTATTTCTAGAGTTTTACATTTGAAATCGAGTGCATAAATATGGACACAAAGTTCATTCGCGGTCACGAGAGGCAGATCGTGATGTATTTCATCAGGTGATGAATATTGTTAGGTCTTCCTTTTTCTCCTTCCCTCCTTTTCTTGTTTTTGCAGTACTGGGGATTGAACCCAGGGCCTTGCAAATACTAGGCAAGTTCTCTCCCACTGAGCTACACCCCCAGCTCTTCTCTGTTCCTTTTGATTTAATTTTCTGAGGCTCTATGTCTGAGAAAACTTTTAAGTTTATGTGCCGCGGGTTAGTGTTCATGTATTATCTTTTTATATAAAATGAGGATATGGAAGTACTGGTAAGGGATTTTTCAAAAAAGTTAATTGTTAGCAAATGCTAGTTAGTGAAGGTGCCAAAGCTTAAAAGAATCCTCAGCCAGGAGTGGTGGTGCACATTTGTAGTCCCAGTTACATGGGAGACTGAAGCAGGGGAATCACTTGAGCCCAGGTCAAGCTGGACAACACAGCAGACCCTGTATTTAGGGAAAAGAAATAAAAATTCTGTAGTCGAATGCTTTCACATAATCCCTTCAAGACTCTCCTAAGTGATGCACTTATGGAGTACCAGAGGTGGTGAAGAGGTAAAATTAGTTATGGGAGGAAGACTTCAATTCAATTCCTGCTTGATGCTCTACAAAATACCTTCTTCAGTCGTGTGGAAAAGGGAGGATGGTAACAAGCATTAATTCACCAGAACAACCTCACTGGCTGATCTTTCCCACAGGGCAGAGAGGGTTTGCCCTGCTTATGAAGATGATGCTTATAAAGATTAATCCTATTATGTGTGGGAGAAAGGACTCTCTATGCTTCACTGGACAGAAACAGAGAAGCGTGATAGGGCAGTATTTTCCTTTAGAGATTTATTTACTGAGGGCTCTGGGGTCAGGAGTAGATGCGCCAGTTTAAAGGAAGTAGCGTTGCTTCTGCACACCTGAGAACCAGGTAATGTTCCTGGTTCTCGCCTAAGAGGCGAATGAACACACGGGGGAATCAGAGCTGGGTTCAATTCCA